AAAAACTTCACAGACATGTTTTATATAGGTATGGCCCTACAATATATTATTCAAATATAGCATGATAGGTCCACTTTAAAGTGCCATTGTATTATAAGATCAAATGATAGCAAAGATAAACCATCACAACAATGGCTCACCAGATGTCTAAAATGCTTTTCATTGAATTAATATTTGCAACGATATACTCTCTAAATCATTGTGCTATAAAGATTTTTTGGAATTATTAATGTAGGGTTATATTTGTCTTCAGTGTGCGTTACAAAATATACACGATAACCTTAGTGCCATTTACTTCTTGCGGGCTAAATTGGATAAGGTGTGATGAATTGTTTGTTGATGATGAAGACCAGCAGTGTTTAATTTTTCTGTTAAGAAGATTTTTATTTTGTCTTAAGTTATAGCATTTTATAAAAGGTGTAAAATGTAAATGCTTTTAAAAGTCCATCAGTTGTTGACAGGCCATTTATGATTGACTTACATGTCCAAATGACATTAGCTGTGGTATTCTTTATGTGGTAAGAGGTTGGGAAACTGATATTGTGCATCAGTTTTATGCTTATACTGCTGGATGGATTGTATGTTGTGTTCCAATTGTGTCCCATTGTTTAACCTTTTGCAGGGAAGTACTGTCAATTAACACTCTCCAGCCTGAATTTGCAAAGCAGTATAGTCAGTTAATAAGTCTGCACTAATTAATAATTGTGTGTGATTCTTACAGTACCTGCTGCACACAACTGCTTTATAGTATGAAAAGCCCCATCATCCATCTCTTCATGAAATCTCTTCAGCAGAACCTTAGATATATTGCTGCAGTCGGAAATGTACCTCGGCAGCATGCAGGGGGCAATGCCGAGGTCTGAAAGATGTTGGAATTTGCCAGTCAATGAGGATCTAATAAAGAGTCACTGTCAGTCTGCAGCTCAGAGCTTGACACATACTAGGAACTAAAAGATGGCCTGCTTGATATTAAGCATCCCCCCATAGATATTCAAAATATACAGAAATATTTACTAGATTAATTAAAAACATGTTTGTATACAACTCAACAAAGTGCACCAGATAGAGGTATTTCCTTATTAAATGTATACAAATGTTCTACTGGGCCTACCTAAAATGTCACCCACCATAATCAGATTTGGCATATTGCTACTGCAGAATTATCCGTTTTATCAACCTGGCAGTTAATCGTTCGATCTTTACTTTAGTCTAAGTGAAGTCTGAGTGATGTTCTTTACTAGCTCATGCTTGTTTTCTTCCTACATTGGGTCCTAAAGCCTTAAGGGTTGGTCATTTTGAAAAAAAATAGCAAGAGTACAGTAGATTATGATATTACATAAAAAACCCAGCCCAATGTTGAAAGCCCAATATCACAAATGTTACATTTGTCTCATTGGACTTTACAGTTTGTAAAGAATATGAATACGAATGTGACATGTTCTGTCTTTGGACCCTAACATCGGACAAGGAAAAACTTCCAAAGAAACCCCACAGTTCATGGGGGGAAAATTGAAGAAACCTTAGGGATACACAGAGACAATTGCAGGCTACATCTCCAGCTGGTCTCAATCTTTCCTGTGGCATCCGTAAAGCCAAGCAGCAGTACACCTGGAGGATTACAGCTCACTTCAGTGACAGCAGAGACACACTGAGCCTATGGAGTATTAGGACAATCACGGATTACAAACCACTACCACAGACCTGTGACAGAGACACCTCTCTGCTGAACAACCTCAACGGCGTCTTTGCACGCTTTTAAGCACGGAAAAACACACCTGCGCAGAAAACCACTCCTCCCCCCAACGACCAGGCTATTTGTCTGTCCACAGGCAGTATGAGAAGCACACTGTTCAGGATTAACACCCGGAAAAAGCTTCTGGACCTGACAACATTCCTGGTCGTGGGCTAAAAGACTGCGCAGCTGAGCTCACAGATGTTCTCACAGACATATTCAACATCTCCCTGAGCCAGGCTGTTAGTCCATCCTGCTTCAAAGAAACCACCATCATACCTTTGCCGAAGAACTCGTCTCCATCCTGCTTCAATGACTACCGCCCTGTAGTGCTGACTTCCACCATCAGTACTACGAGAGGCTAGTCCACACTCCCTGGACCCATTTTAGTTTGCATATCAAGCTAAGCGGCCCACTGAGTATGCAATCTCCTCTGCTTTCCACCCAGCACTCACCCACTTGGACACAAATAACTAATTTGTCAGGACGTTGCTTTAGCTTAGCATTCAACACAATAATCCCCCAGCAGCTGGTTTGCAAACTAACCAACCTGGGTCTAAGCACCTTTCTCTGCAACTGGCTGCTGTTTGTTATCCTTGATCAAAAGCTGGACCCTAACCCTCTAGTTGCACTCTTTGGCACCACTGGAGAGGATGATACACGCCTGTCTCCAATCAAGGCTCGCACACTATCCTTTGCCTCCCTGCTGGCCAGGCTAGTGATACTACTTAGGTGGAAAGATGCTGTCCCGCCTACCCACGCTCAGTGGCTAAATGACCTAATGTCAAGCCTTACACATCTAACATTTAACATCTACATGCTACCACTGGCTCAGATAATGAAAAACAACAAAATAAGTTACTATAGCTAAGCAGATGACACACAAATGTACGTAACAATTTCACCAGGAGACTATGCTCCAATTCAAACACTGAGTAAGTGCATTGAACAAATCAATGACTGGATGTGTCAGAACGTTCTCCAATTAAACAAAGATAAAACTGAGGTAATGGTTTTTGGAGCCAAGTCAGAACGTATAAAAGTTAGCACTGAGCTTCAGTCTGCAATGTTCAAAACAACAGATAAAGCAAGAAATGTAGGTGTAGTCATGGACTCTGACCTGAGTTTCAACAGTCACATTAAAACAGTTACTAAATCAGCCTACTATCACCTAAAGAATATATCTAGGATTAAAAGACTAATGTCACAGCAGGATTTGGAAAAACTTGTCCATGCTTTTATCTTCAGTAGACTCAACTACTGCAATGGTGTCTTCACAGGTCTCACTAAAAAATCTATTAGGAAGCTGCAGCTGATTCAGAACGCCGCTGCTCGAGTCCTCACTAACACTAAGAAAGTAGGGACGGGTGGCGCAGTGGTCTGTGCATTTGAGCATCAGATCAAGGGGGCGTTGGGGAACTCCAGTTCGAAACCCGCTCCCGCCCCACTGCGTCAGGCCGTTGTGTCCTTGGGCAAGACACTTCACCCGAATTTGCTCCTGTGGGTATTGTCCACAGTAGATGACCATTACATGTATGATCTGTATGTGTAATGTGTATTTGTAAAGCGCTTTGAGAGTCTTTGATAAAGCGCTATAATAAATATAAGGATTATTATTATTATAAAGTGGATCACATCACTCCTGTTCTGAAGTCTTTACACTGGCTTCCTGTGTGTCAAAGAATAGATTTCAAAATACTGCTGCTGGTTTATAAAGCACTGAATGGTTTAGGCCCAAAATACATTTCTGACCTCCTGCTAAATTATGAACCATCCAGATCTCTCAGGTCTTCAGGGACTGCTCAGCTTTCTGTCCCCAGAGTCAGAACTAAACATGGTAAATCAGCGTTCAGTTATTATGCTCCAAATATCTGGACTACTTTTAAATCCAGACTGAAGACTTTTCTTTTTGTCGCTGCTTTTAATTGAACTATTCATATCTTAGACTGCACTGTAACTTTTATCCATGTACTTTTTATTTTAATGTTTAATTGAACTATTCATATCTTAGACTGCACTGTAACTTTTATCCATGTATTTTTTTCTTTTAATGTTTATTTTATTAGCTTTTCTTTTTAATGACTGATTTTAAATGCAATTTTCTTAATGTCTTTCATTTTTTGTAAAGCACTTTGAATTGCCTTGTGTTGAAAAGTGCTATATAAATAAACTTGCCTTGCCTTGCCTTACACTTGAAAAGTTGTGCTACTCAGTCTGTGGCTCAAGTACTAAGTTCAATAAGGTATGGGGACCATTCCTAAAACACTTTAAGAAGCTTAAAGGAGACCTATCATACCTATCATAAGGTATATTTATACGTTTTTTTTTTCAAAATACCAAACTAGCCATGCCTTATTTTGCTCTATTTTCCTCTCCTCCACCCTGTCTTTGCATGCGCTGCAGCTGACCACGCCCCCCTGCAAAGGAGGGGGCGGAGTTATGAGCGTCATGGTACCATGCTGTTACCATGCTGTTACCATGCCATGGCAACCTCTCATTCCCCTGATAGGTGTAGAGTTGGCCATATAGGCGGAGCTTCTCGTCACTGACGTCAGACTATTTTCAAATCTGGATCAGCCTGTATCAGATCCGTTCCAGCCCCGTTTTTAGAGATTTAGGTATGGAGGAAAAGAGAGACGGTTGTGTTTGCTGACACTTGGTGAGTTCGCTGACACACCGGGGACACATATTCATGTATAAAAGACTACAAAAGTGCATTTTGCATGATAGGTCCCCTTTAAGTCATGATGATGATGGTGCACTATTTCTGACTGTACTTTCTATTAGTATTATCATTTGTATTATGTTAAAAGAGTGTTTATGTGTTTTATTTGTGTTTCCTTTACTCTTGTCTATTGTCCTAGACTTCCAGCTACTGTCTCTCTTGTTTTTTGTTTTGTACTCCAGAGATGTCATATCCTTGCGCATATTGTTCAGGTCTGTTTGGGACTGGGGAAGGGGAAGGGGTACATGTGTAAATGTGTAATGTGTTGATGTTTGTTGTTGTCTTTAAACAAATCTAATAAAAATATTTCTGCGGGGAAAAAAATCATCATATTGGGAGAAAAAAACAACAGGGTCCATTTATACAAAATATATGTTTTATTGCAAAGAAGTTTGGGTCATAATTTTCTCTATTGACTGCTTTGAGTGTACTGGCCGACCGATGTGATTTTCTAACTGTAGTGCATAGAAAAATATCATACTAATCCAATGACCCTGATTGGTCATATCTTTATGACTCTACCCTCTCTGTCTGTTTCTTCAGCGGTTCAACTTTGTGTCTCTGCCCACTGATGTACTGGAGATCGAAGTGAAGGATAAATTTGCCAAGAGTCGGCCAATCATCAAGCGTTTTCTTGGAAAGCTCTCTGTCCCTGTCCAGAGGCTGCTGGAAAAACATGCCATTGGGTAAAACACTCACACACCATATACAGTTATGCAATTAATACTGTAAGTATGTGTGGCAGGACTTTGCTTGTCATCAGTCTAAATATTACTCTTATTAGTGTTGATGAATAAAACAAATATATAACTAATACCGTTTTTTAAAACTAATAGTTTTTTTAAATATTAAAAACTGTATTTGTATTTACTGTATTGTTATTTTACTTGAAGAAGCATGTGAACATACTCAAGTAAAGTGCAAGTACCTCAATTTCATTACTTAACTACAGGTCCTGAGTAAATATACTTAATTACCTTCCCTCATTGTATAAAACAATAACAAAATGTCAAGTGGCGGCAGTGAAAGTGTAATATAATTACTATTACTATCACAAATAGATTATTTTCCAAAATAATGCAATGATAAATGGTACCTCTCTTAAGGTGATCAGGGCTATAATTAGTGTGAATGCTGTGCAACAGCATTTAACATGTAACTCAATGGGAGGAACCTTCAAATCCTCTTTTACCTACACCGTGCGCAAATGCTACTCCTTCCACATACTTTCAGCTAGAGACTTCATTCCAACTTTAAAACGGTCACAAGACCTTCAGCTATACAAATTATTCTTCAGATTTTTGATATATTTTACACTTATTGAGATATTTATTTAGCTTGGAGCTTGACAAAGAGGCCTTTTTCAGATTTGAACATTAATGTGTATTGCATAGCTCGTTAAGGCTTAGAGTGCGTGATGTCACAGCTAGTGGACGAGAGCTTGAAATTCACCTTCATTTTTTTTTTGGACAACATTGGGAATTTGAGTTTTCTTGACGGGTCTTATTTTGATTCAATCCAGTGGTGACGTGCTATACAAAATAAGGAGGCCTGGAGGTCCTTCCCCTGTGAGTGAGAAGCTGGTGAATAGTCAAGGTTTTATGTCCCTTAAAAAGCTAAAAGTAGCAAACTACTGTACAGTGTGCAAACACCCGAACATTTAAAAAAAAAAAATTTCATAAGCAATATATTGCTAAAGTGATGATCATACTTTCAAACTTTTCAATTGTGGAGAAAGTCCTTCTTTTAAATAATTAAAAGCTATACAATATTTAATTACAATTATCCATTAATTCTTGTGTTCATGGCTTTATGAATGCAGCTAATATTACGCTTACTTTTTAGTTTATACACTGCTTAACCCTTACCCATTTGATTTGATTCATTATCAATAGCACAGTGTAAAAATGACATTCACAAACGACTAAAGACATAATTATATTCAAGAGTAAAATTGTATGTTGTAACAATTTTTCTCCGCTGAAAATAATGGATTCAAAATATGTAATTAAATGCTATTCGACAAACACAACTGATGCGTTGCAAACATGACTGAAGTAACAACTACTGTTAGTCCAGGGAAAATACTGTATGTGAACCAAGGCCTAAAAAAAAATAAACAGCCATTAGGATTAGTTAGGCTTTCAGCTGTCAACTGACCGCCAGCTGGCAAGTGCTGGGATATTTACATTAGTTCACTACATCTGTAGCTATGTATTTTTTTAACAAAATCTGTAATTTTTTCGTGTCTCTTCCAGCAATCTTACATTAATCCTGCATATCTCTTTTTCTCTGTACTTTTCTGTCTTATTTCTTGCAGGGATCGAGTAGTGAGTTATTCGCTGGGTCGCAGGTTGCCAACAGACCATGTCTGCGGCCAGCTGCAGTTCCGCTTTGAGTTGACTTCTTCTATTCACCCAGGTACATAAGGCATAATGCCATGTAACAGTGAAAAATAATAAATTCTGCTCCGTTTGAGTGTTTAGCTTTCAAGTCAACTGTCTTTCTCTTGCAAAGTCACACTTCTCTCTGTAGTGAATCTTCAGTTTGTGTTGGTTGATGCTATTCTTTTGGAATGTAGAAGTATCAAAAGCTATTTAAAGGTCTCAAGAGTGTAAATCGGCTTTCTAAACTCACAAAACTTTAATTTGCACCACTGGCAAAATAAGAACTGAGTTTAGTCAAGACCCAGACTTGTTTATGGTAGAAATGTAAAAAATATGCTCAACACAACCAACATCTCAATTTTCCTTAGATGATGAGGAGATCTCTCTGGTCATAGAGTCAGCCTGTCCTCAGGGGGGAAATACACCAAATGACAACCATGCTGCTGATGCTCCTGATGACACATTAAGTGTGGGACCTGACATGCCTGATCTCCCCCTGGATGCCCCTCCTGACCCTGAAATGACGGTGGTAACAGCATCCACAGCGGAAGCCTCCACACCTGAGGAGGTCCGTGCTGAGGATGAGGAGGCTGAGTCAACGCCAGAAGATCAAGACACTGTGGATGAAGAGAGCACAGTGAGGGAGGAGCCCCTGTCTACAGAGCCACAAGTGGAGAAGGAGCAGGGGGAACTGGCTGAACAGCAAGAAGGGAACAGTGGAGATGATGGAGAAAGGGAGGAGAGGCAACAAGAAGAAGAAGAAGAAGAAGAAGAAGAAGAAGAAGAAGAAGAAGAAGAAGAAGAAGAAGAAGAAGAAGAAGAAGAAGGGGAGCAGAGAGAAGCGTTTGCACCACAAGCTCATGAGGATACGACTGGAGAAGAAAATTATGTTGGAGAGGAAATACAGCCAAAGCCAGACTCTGAAAATACTGTTGAAATATCAACAAACAATGGGGCTGTTACTATTGAGGACCCGATGGAGGGAAGCATCGCTTCCCAAAAGGCCGATGTAGAACAAAGGGCTGCTCAGGAGGTGACAGAGGGCGGAGAAATAAGCTGCCTCCCCTGCACCTGTGAATCCCTCTTCTCAAACTATAACTCTAATGCTCCTTTGCGCCGCAAAAATCGCCCCTGCTCCCTTCCAGTGTCAGAGTTGGAGACGGTGATCGCATCGGCCTGCGGAGAGCCGGAGACACCCAGATCTCACTACATTCGGATCCACCACCTCCTCCACAGTCTCCGCTCTGCCCAACACAGAGCTCCCAGCCAGGAGGAGGAGGAGGTCAGGGAGGGAGATAATACAAGCACCACTCAAGACACCACTTCCACAAAACTTAAAACCTCCGAAGAGGAGGAGGGGCTGGAGGATGAGGAAGAGGATGATACAACCCTATCTCCCTCTCAGGTATGGCCAATGATGGAGTTATGGTAGAACAGCCAAAATATGTGCTGGAGTTATTCCATAGTAACAAGCATGTACGTTTTAGTAAAAGTAGTGGTCAAAATACTTCATTGAGTGTGATGTAGGGCCCAAGAAAAACTACTTAAATAATGTACCAGCTCACTTCACACTCCTATATTCCTATTTATTCAAAATGCAGGGTTCGTACGGGTGCTTGAAATCCTTGAAAATGCTTGAAATTTGACGTGGTGTTTTCAAGGTTGGGAAAGTGCTTGAATTTTGGGAATGGTGCTTGAAATTGAGATAAAGTGCTTGAAAATGTAAATGCTTTACTTTTACAATAAATTGCTGTCTGACTGAATAGTTCGCTTTTTAGATTAAAAGAAAATAATTGCTTCGCTTCTACATAAAACAGCTCCGCTGCACCTTCCCGCGCTATGCGCGCGACCTGCAAGTGTTTGTGTTACGTGTGACCTAGGCATTCTGATGAGAGTGATAGATGACTGTGTGCCAGGAGGTTGCCGTTTCAACGAGCGTTGGCTAGCAGAAGACAAATACAAGCCATGGCTAAGACGAGGGTCAAGCCCACGAGTAGCCTCCTGCAAAGTTTGCCAAAAAAACGATGCGAGAGTCTGCGCTGACGAGCCACATGAAAGGTACGCCGTAGTAGAACATTTTAGATTAGGCTAACGTTGCATGTTACGTTTGTTTAAGCTAACGTTTGCTAGCTGAATAGCGAACTCGATTGAGGGATAATAATAATTGCAGGGGATAAACGAGCCGGTTTTTTGTTTTTTTTGCGGAGGGATCTAGATTGGCTTGAAGGCACATTATGCAATGTGCACATTATCCCGCTTATTACACGGCCACATTCTCAACAAAGTAACGACATGACTCCCAATATTAATTGAGATGCTTTTATGGATTTAGAAAATGATTTTATTGATTTAAAAAATAGTTGTATGTATTGATTTAAATTGACATGCATCCGCTAAGAAAAGTAGTCCGTTGTTACTGTTTGAAGTGAACTAACGTAGCAACGGCAGGAACTGCTTCGATAGTGTTTTTGAGGAGCTTTTTGATTACAGATTTTAAAACATCGTTGCTTGCTTTAAAAGCACAATTCATTATGTCAAACCTTGGAAAGTATCTAGATATCCCTGCCCTAATGCCAAAGTAACTGGCAACTGAATATGTGTCGCCGTTTGATGTCTATGTCTGGACCGCTGCGTAAAAAGGAGGGTTTCTGCCTCATTACTTCTCTTCTTACTTCTATAAGAATAAAACACGGAGGACGGAGATCTCTTTTGCTCCCCCTCTTCTGACAGCCCAGCAGCTGATCTCAAAGCACGCTCCCCTCTCCTGCAGGGGGGCGTGGTCAGCTGCAGCTCACAGAATCAGCCCCCTGCAAAAACAGCGCTGGAAAGAGCAAATAGAGCGAAATGAGTCATGGCTAAAATGCAGGATATTTTTGGTCTATATAGTCTTCTATATTTTTTTATATAAAAAAAACTATATTTATATACTTTATATAGGTCGATACAGTAGCCCCTTTTCTTTTAAATAGTTTTTATAGGTGTTGCTATTTGTTTTGTGTAGCGTGGTTCTACAAGCAAGTCAATGCATTCATTGGGTGGTATCAGAGAGTTACACGGGTCTGTAAATGCAATGAAAACAATTGGCCACAGCAAATCATTTATATTAAACATGTCATTTTTACTTTTGAATACTTCAGTACAAAGGATGTATTGAATAATTTAAGTGATATATGTGTACACATATAAATCATTAGTCAAAACAGGGCTACATTTGATTTAATTAAAAGGTATAATATGTGGTAAACTGAAGAGCCGTTTGGGAGCCGAAAGAGCCGGCTCTTCTTGGTGAGCCGAGCCAAATGATCCGGCTCACCAAGAAGAGCCGGAATTCCCATCACTAGTGTTCAGAGGATGAAGCACTCACGGCATTTCGTGTTATAGTCACGAAATATAATCTATTGATTCGACACAGAGCGATTTTGAAAGCAATGCATTTCTACTGGTAGTATGTTTCGTACCTAAACCAAATGTAACTTGCTCTATCGAAATCAGTCACATTGACCCGAAGACACATTTTCGTTTGTATTACTGGTCTGGGGGAAGCTCGCGAGTGTGTGTGTGTATTTTTGCGTTTGTGTACCGGGGAAACACTCATAAGAAACACCGGCTGTTGTTATGCTTGCTGTGATGTTACATTAGTCCGTTCTCTGCTTGTAATTATGCTGTTACAATCTTCAAAGTTGTATTTATCATCTGAATTTGCCGAAACAAGTTTAATATTCTGAAAGCCAATACTTTGTTTATTTGAAAACAGATGAAAACAAACTGTCTTTAATATAAAATTGAAATATTATACAAGTAAAACTACATTTTGCTTTAATCCCATGTAATTGTAGAATTAACACAGTCTTCCTTTGAAGATGTATAAGTCAGGTGTCTTGAGTAGTCAAATTACCTTGTGGATTTACTCCAGGTGGAACTAAAGTCTGATTTAACACTTGATTATATTTCACATCATTCATCCACATCTGTGAAGTAACTAAAGGTACATGTAGTGGAGGAAAAGTACACCATTTACCTCTGACTTATGTTCACTTCCAACATAAAAGTACCTCAAAAATAGTGTAAAATATGTAATTTACAACAGCTGTAAGCTGCTTGAAAAGCTGGAAAATGCACCTTGAAAATGCTTGAAAAGTGCTTGAATTTTGACTTTGGAAAAGGTGTAAGAACCCTGAAAATGACCTTTAAGAAAAGAACAACAAATACTGCAACAGAAATAGCAGTATGATTGACATATATGTCTCCCTTTAGGCTTTTGGTTTTTCCATTTAATTGTCTAAATATTCCTGATCCAGGTCCCAGAGTGTCCCGGCCCCTGCTGTCGTCGCTCCTTACCACGCAGCCTCTCAATTGAACGCCTTTCTGAGCTAAACCAGCTCCTGGAAGGTGATGGAGGAAGAGGAGGAGGCGGACATACAACAGTGGAGAGCGAAGAGGGGGATTCCAGTCATGGAGGAGGAAGAAGAGTTGGCTGTAGCACCCTCAGACATCAGGGTGAGAACGACTGTGAATTCTGCGACACATCCTGCTACAGTACCTCCTGCTACAGCACTTCCTGTTACAGCACATCATGTTACAGCAACTCTGGCTATGAGGGTAGGAGCCGCTTTTGTAGCCATACCCGCCTGTCGTCAGTGGACAGCAACAGACTCTCTGGTAGTACGGTGTTCTCCTCCCAGGATGAAGATGAAGATGAGGAAAGTGCCTTTGAGTCAGTACCTGATAGCAGCCTCTTGCCAGATGGCCAAGAGGTGAGCGGGGCAGGAGGAGAGAGGAGGACAGAGAGGTTGAGGGAGGCCAGGAGAGGACAGCAGGCAGAGCCAGCTGTGCCAGGGCCCAGCGATATAAACAACATTGGTGAGATAAAAAACTATTTTCTTATTGTTTGTTTGCAACTGCAATGTAATGAGTCCAGCCGTAATGAGTTATTCAACGACAAATAAAGTGAGCACACACTGCAAGGCTACGTTACTGCTGACTTCCCACTCAATGCAAACACGTGTTAAACACAAGCTTCTCACACAGTGTTTACGCTACTTGAATAAACATATTTTAAATACATTTTAAAAACATAATGAAATCAGTGTAGTGTAAATATATGATCACAATGAGCCATTGCACTATAGGTAAATCCAATTACTTTAATATACAGCTTTTTTTTATTTAAATGTGACCTAGATAACATTCAAAATGTTTAGTTAATTTAAACAAGGCCTTTACAAACTGTAACAAATGTTTTACTTTCATCTTATAATTAAGTAACTCTGATTAGAACATGTATCATGGAATTCACTGTGACATGAGGGGGGATCACCCCTTATGCACGTTAATGTCAGTAATTATTGGGGACCTATAATCAAAAGCTTTTGAGTTTTTCGTTTTTGTGCATAGAAATGACACTTAATAAACAAGACAGACTTGACGTACTATCAGCAAAACAAACAAAACAGAAAAAGAAATAAAGAAGAAAAGAAAATAGAAACACAGCCCAAATAATATTGTCTTCATTCCCTCATGTTGTAGACCATTATGCTCCAGGAAAAGGTTTTCCAGATTTCCCAAAACCTATCCAGTTTGTTTTTAAGGAAAAAACGTATCATTTCAAGAGCAAGGTAGAAAGTCATCCCTTTCAGCCATTGAGAAAGTCCACAGGTTGATGGTTCTTTTCCATGTGCGAGCTATGCACAGAGTTTTTCACATTTAATATTTAAAAAAAATTCCTTCTGTGAAAAGAACTAACAATTAGGTAAAGATATCAAATGATTTTTAAGCCATTTTATCTTGATTTAATTTACACTTTACTTTTAGATTGCTAGTATAATGTGTACAGATTACATTTAAATAAGTTTCAAATAAAATCAACATATTCAATATTTCAATATAAGAAATAAATGATAAACTAACCAAACCTAATGTCCACAAATAAGTAGTAAAGTATTACTTAGTGATGGATGGCAGCCTTACTCTATGTACTATGGTACGTCCCTATGTGACGTTATGTGCTTGAGTGTTGCCAACTTTGCAGTTTTTTCCCTAAATCTGGCCACTTTCTGAATCCTCTACGTGACTTATTTTGTTAAAAGTGACTAGCAACAAATCTAGCGTCTTTCTGTGGTGTTATTGGACACTTTTCTGCTGTGTTGGAGACTCTGACGAGAAAGCAGGTATTGTTCTGCAGTCACTGTCCCCAACAAGTAGCGGGTGCTGCCGTGAGCCTCTCTGCAATCCCAAAGCACTCACAGGTGGTCAGTCTCACAGTAGCCTTGCGCAGCAGTCCCAGCTGCAGACGGCGCAGAGTAGACCAACACTCTCTGCGTCCAGACTGCACCGCTGATCCCGCCATGGCTTACGAGCTGGATGTAAATGTTTCTTCACTTTCACACAACAAGCAATGCATTTGACTATCACAGTCCCAGTCACTTACTAACCTCGTCCACTGTGTCTGTGCCTCTCTGTGACATAAGCAAAATAAATTAATGTTATACTGTGACTTGTTGTAGACTCCTTAATGTAGCATAAGGTTAGAAACTAAACCAAACTTAAGAAAAAAAAAGGAAAAAGTCAACAAACTAAAAAAGTCACTCTGCCAGACTGTATAACCCATAAATGGCAATGTTGAGGGGTAGATAAAAAGTATCTTACAGGCAGCTGCTTTCAGGGGAAAAGTCCTAATCAGCACCAGCCGCCAGACAAACACAGTAAGAGAGCTTGTGAATATATTACAGCATTTTGCAACTGAAGAACCAGGGGATACTAGACAGAAAATACATGGATCAGAATGACCGATTTAACAGGGTGTCCGCGGGGTCTTAAAAAGTATTAAAAGTTGATAAATCAATTTAGCGAAAATTAAGGCTATTAAAAAGTATTAAACGGCATTTTCCAAGGTATTAAGAAGGTCCACAGCAACGACAACATGAAACACCCTTTAATTTACTGCAACGACATGTCGGGAAACCCCCTCAAGGTGGCCCCATGCATAGCGCGGCGTAAAATGATGCTTCTTATTTTAAGTTTCGTTGCCTTGCTCCGATCTGGGGGGGGGGGGGAGAGTGTTGGGGCGCCACTGATGGTGATGAAAGCTGGTTCGAGGGGCCCCCACAGACTCTAGAATCACCACTGTCGATGGGGATCAAAGCTGTCCGGTCCCACATGCTAAGTGCTAGCCAGAAAGCCGCGGCGTTTAAGTTCCGACTCCCCCGATGGCCAATCCGTGCCTCCCCTGACTGCACGTCGCTGAAACACACCGCTGCAGTGCAGACTCTCTGCACCGAGAAGCAGTGGAGTCCGGACGATGCTGCTCCTCCAAGGAAGAGACACACGTTCACTAAGCAAAAAAAACTATATCCGGTCACAGAGATCTGCTATTTTAAAGTAAAGTCAACACATATCGACCCTAAGAACGATAGCCCAGCCCAATTTAACCCCTGGGTATTTGTGAGGGAGCTCCTATATGGCATTACCCCGCTGAAGCTTAACAAAGTTTAATATATTTCATAGTTCAAAGTGTTATCAATTGTTTTGTTTATTGGTCAAATACTGGTTTCTAATGGTTTCTGAGGAGTTTTACTGGAATGAAAGAGCACAAAGTGTGTCTACAGAAGCAAAAATGCAGCATACTGCATTAGGTTGAAGTTCATGTGGAGAGGAGGCTTCAGTAGTCTGTCTGTTTTATCTCTTGGGAACAATGCCTAAATCAATCTAATGGTTTCTTTTTCTAATAAACCTTGCATTGGGTTGGTCACACAACTCATTCTCTTGTGCTTTGTTTTATCTGAATTATGATAAGGAGTTATCACAAGCTGTTTAGTTATGCTATATTACAATAAATACTGTATATAGTAAATGTGAGGTAAAGTGTGTAACCGGTTAGAACTCGAAGTTGCGATGAGGTCTTAAAATGTATGGAAAGGGTCTTAAAAAAGGTCTTAAAAAGTATTACATTTGACTTCAGGATTCCTGCATATACCCTGTTTAAGTACAAACCAAATATCAGCTGTGATATTTAAGACTTTTTTTGTATCTTTTTTGTATCCCATTTGTTGATATAATAAATCAATAAAGGTTCACTACATAGGCTCTTATGCAGCCGGACTATCTATGTCTTTAGTCACATTCAGTGTCCACAATGCACCACCTGATTGGTTTACACGTCAGGAGTAATAGACTACCAACACCACTGATAGATATTGCTGTAGTTGCAATAAACATCTCAATGGTAGACACTAGAGCAGGGGTCACCAACCTTTTTTAGGGTGAGGGCTACTTTCAAAAAATAAAACAAGTCGGGGGCTACTTTTACTCCTTTTTTTTTGTTTTTTGCAGTGTATATATTTAGCATACTGAAAATCCCACAGCACATCTTTGTGTGCTGTTTGGGTCTGTGGGACCCATTTTCAGTGTTTACTAAAAGAACATGTATTCAATTTAATTATTTTAATCTGCTTTATTTGGGGGTAGACCTCACATCGGGTCCAGGGGCATGATTTTTTTTTAAATGTTGAAGTGAAATGCATCAATCTGGTGCACTTTGAGCACAAAATGTATTTATGGATACAGCTCTCAACACTCATATGAAAGGGAGCTGTATACTTTTCAATAACCCAAACATCTTTAGAATATGATCACAACCAATAACAAAACATTTAAACTTGTTTATTCTTATCTTATGTTACCTAGTTAGCATTCTTTATTTTTATGTATGCATATTTTACTAATCACTCCCCTTTTAAACAGTTTTTTTTTTTTGTTTACTGTCCTATAGGACACATTGGAATGATTTCTTACTTTATCTATATTAAATAGACAAAGGTGTGCTCTCCCTAGCTCCCTCTCTCTCTCTCTCCCTCCCTCCCTCCCTAGCTCTCTCGCTCGCTCGCTCTCCCTCTCTCTCCCTCTGTCTCGCTCGCTCAGAGGCTGTGTGCTCCTCCGTGGCGATGACGGCTTGCATTAAAAAATAATAATAAACATATTTGTAAAGTGGGGGACACAAACGGAATTTCGAAAAGAGCGGGGGACATGTCCCCCCTGTCCCCAGTGGAAATTACGCCATGCGTGTGTGTGCGTCAAGTGCAATAAATATATATGCAAGTTGCAACACACAGAGTAAAACTCTGCCCCTCATGTGTTGCATAGGCTGGCATGATAGGCTGTTCAATGGGGCTGATGTGTTGTGTAGATTCTGCCAAAAGGAAAATCAGCGGTGAGCTGCCGCTCCACATTGCTTTTCTTCCCGACTGCAACGCTGGTCCCGCAAATCAAGCAAGAACGTGATTGGTCGATATTCATTGTGGGGGTGGGGGGAGGAGGGGTGTTGGATAGATATAGAGTTGTAGTAAGTAGATAGAGCTCGCTATGATTGAGGTTTCGTTTATGCAGAGGGAAGATTCCTTTAATTACATTTCCTTTTTTATTTTGTTTATTTTTTACATTTTGGATTTGCTTGGCGAGCTATTTTTAGAACATGCCCCGCGGGCGACTCACGTTTCCCCCTGCGGGTGACTAAGCTACCCCTGCACTAGAGTGACAAAATACCCAGTCTTTTTGCTTGTACTGTTTTGTTTATCATCATTTATAGAAATGCAGTGAAGTGAGGATACTGGAATTGTATACATTGGACATATATAACACAGACCGGCAAAAGTGTTACTGTCACTGTGTTAGTAGAGACACTCTTCTGTGGTCACACGGCCCACTACACACTCTCTCTTTCTGTCACTCTACCCCCCCTCCCTCCAGCCCCTTTGCAAATATTTATTGGTCTCCTTGATTACTGAAAACCATGGTGGTATAGTGTATCCCCAGCATTTTTGTTATTTATGGTGTACTTTCTCTCTGATGTCATGTAGGCTTAGGCTCCTCCCCTCCTGTTGGCCATCTTCCAGTCCTGCGACCCAGCCATGACCTAAACCATTTTCCTGCTGCCACTGACCAAGCCTTACCTCCAAGTAAGAACTAACACCTCATAGTCTTACTTTGGAGTCCCATCCCTACACCTTAGTTTGATGTCAGTGTGGCTGTGTGTTTCAATCAACTGCATGTTGCCATGTCAGTTTGATTTACAAACATATTCCATCTTTTCTGTGTTTACCGTCACCATTTTATCCTCCCTCCTTGCACTCCTCTTCTATTTAAGTTTAGATGTATTGCTTTAAAATAGGGCTGGGTGATATGAAGAACAATTCCTAGCTATTTTATCAAATAGCTTGATATTGATATTGTGACGATATTGAAGGTTTGATCAATGATGCTTTCACAAAATATTAACACAATTTGTCCAAGTTATTGACCAAGTGGGGAAAAGCAAATAATAAAAAAGCAACAAGTCAGTTAAATAAAAAAAAATCCGTATATACAACCAGGAAAAGACAATATCTAACAATATGATAGAACATCTAATGGATATCTAGTCTCATAGCACGATATCGATAGAATATCACTATTTGGCCCAGCCCTACTTTGTGCTGCTCTGTTCTGCTTGGTCCATGTTTGTATCTGCATTCAACTTTTCAAAAGGCTGAATTGCACGCTTATTTTTCGCTGATGCAGAGCAGGAAGGTCAGCTACCGGATGGCCCAAACTCCACTTTTTTGTTGCATCATCATCCAACTCAAGTTCACTAATCAGTGTCCTTAATGCAATATATTTTCAATACACATTTTGTGGGGAGCAAATAAAGTTGGAGGGACTTATTTCTGTTTCTCTATCAGAATCAAAATCAGTTTTATTACCAAGTAGGTTTACACATACAAGGAATTTGCTTTGGTATGTGTATACAAAGACACAGAAAGAAGAATACGTAGCAAAACACAATTAAATAAAAATTGGAGTGTTATGACAGCTATTTAAAAAACTATTTAAAAAGTATTATACCAAATGCGGAGAGCTGTGCTGCTCTTTAAAGAGGTAGTGTGGAGAAGAAATGTGCAACATGTGCAGGATTTACATTTTTAAAAAGAACAATATATTGTTTGCATTAAAGGTCTCCTATCATGCAAAATGCACTTTTTGATGTCTTTAATACATAAATATGTGTCCCCAGTGTCCCCAGTCCCCAAGGGGACTCAAAAAGTGTCAAAAAACAAAACCCTCTCTCTTTTCTTCCGTACCCAAATCTCTAAAAACAGGGATTCTACGGAGCTGATCCAGAATTGCTGCAGATATAACGTAATATCGGAAATCTGGGCTGGCTTTAAACCCATGGCCCTATCAGAAACGTCGCTATCAGAAACAATGTGCGACGTGTTTTGGAAGTAATATGGTCTATGTTTACATTAGCAAGCATCGCTAACACTCAGAGCTAACGCTGTACTGGAGAGAGTATGTGTAAAAAAGCAGGATATAAAAAGGTAGTCACCTCGTGTTAAATCTGCAAGAGAAAAAGCATTTGAGCTCCATTCTATTTCATAAATAATCCTTGATGTCGTTTTGAATATGATATGGCATTTAATCACGGCAGCATTTAGCTGTGTATCTGGGTAGAATTATCCTGCATGAGCAGCTACGGACCCAGAATCAGCACTTCTCTAACAGGGCTGAAATAGAGGGGTATTTTGAGCAAAACACTCCATAGACATGTTTTTTATATATTTGTATATATCTGAGACCTATAAATAGTATAGCAGGAGACCTTTAATGTAATGCATAATGTTTTTCTGGGGTGGATCAAAGTCTGTGACAGTGGGGTTCCTGGGCCTTGTTAATGAGGCCGGTAGCAGAGGGGGAATAAACTGTTCAGGCGGTGAGAGGTCTTGGTCCTGATTGAGCGCAGCCTCTTGCCAGAGGGGAGCGGGGTAAACAAGTTGTGTCCAGGGTGGGTGGGGTTGGCCGCAATCTGCCATCTCTCCACGACCTGAACGCTTTCAGGACCATGAGGTGGGCAGGTTGGGAGAGGGGGCAGATTGCAGCCGATCACCCTCTCTGCAGAGCGGATGATACGCTGCAGTCTGCCCTTGCCCTTTGCTGTAGCTGCATTGTACCAGATGGTGATGGAGGAGATGAAGATGGACTGATAATGGCGGTGTAGAATTTCACCATCATCGTCTTTGGCAGGTTGAATTTATTCAGCTGCCGCAGGAAGAACATCCTCTGCTGGGCTTTTTTGGTGAGGGAGCTACATCTGCTCCCACTTGAGGTCCTTGGTGATGGTCCCCAGGAAATCCACAACCATCTCCACTGTCTTTAGAGCGTTGAGCTCCAGGTTGTGGTCCCTGCACCAGGTCACAAGATGGTTGATCTCCGACCTGTAGGTAGACTCGTGCCTGCTGTGTCCAGGTGCTGAAGGAGGAAGTGAAGAGCCATGTTGACAGAATCATCTACTGACCTGTTGGCTCTATATTCATAAAGCAGGCATTTATAATCCTGAAAATATAAACACAACAATCAGTCTGTTTAATTTAACCTTTATGGTGTTAGGGGAAAATTAGGCGGGAACTACATTTTGCCAGCCGGGCACCTTGTCATAAACATTGAGGTTTTCCAGGTTTAGGACCATTGTTGCTGTTCTGAGACCAAAACAGTGCTGAGTGGATGTATAATGATATTGTGATACATTTTTAATTATCTTTGGGTAAGCACATTTTTTTCCCAGTGCTTCCAGTCTTTATGCTCAGCTAGAATAGCACGCTTGGAAATAAAACAAATAATCAGTTAAACTCTAGTGATCGTGCTAAAATCACTAATCGCTAATTTGTTTGCTTTAAACTAGACATTCACATTTGTATAAAGGCTACCCCCCGTATTTTTTGTATTATTTTGCAGAATGATTGCGAGCATTCTCAATAATTAAAATAAAAGTTAAACAGTTTAGGGCATTGGATGTTACGTTAACCAGCTAACTCAAGCATATTCGTATTTACCGCCAATTCAAATAGATTTCCCCAAAAAGTGGGCAGAGACGTAATTTTGCAAGAGTTTTTTTGCAAAAAGTGATGTAAGGTGTTACATCTCTTACTCTTACATGTATCTATTCTGAGGCCCGACTCTCTTCGTCACCGACGGCAAAACAGTCCGACATTATCCCAAGACCTGACCCTTGTCCGCCGGCGGGGGCAAAAGACAACAATATTCAAGAAACTGTGTCTCGGGGCTTCTTAACATTTAACAACCTATTAATGTGTCATACCCACTTAACGGGAAGAAACTCAGCTAACTGACGATATGAACAATTTTTACCTAAAATACGTCTTACTTTTGCTGTTTTCTGATCAAAAGTTATGTTCAATGGCATTAAAATGCATATAAACGCTGCTGAAGGTTAATCCAATGTCTCTGTGTCACTTTGAAATGGTTACTGATAATCGATCATAACATTTATGGCAATAAGAGTAGTTTTCATATAGAGCGTAATATTTTATTTTTATTTTAATTGTTTATTTGGTAGGGACATTGCACATGAATGAACACTTAAAACAATAAATGTACCAAGTGTAAATATGCCGTATTTAGCTTTGAGCTACTTTTCATCCGCAGTCCCTCACATAAAACATTTAAGAAAATGACATTTACAAACATAGCAAGAACAAATACATGAAATGCAAAAAGTGCAAAAGAGCAAGAGCAGCATACACAATTATTTATGACATGGCAATACAATATAGCAGCAACGATACATAAAGTGCAAGAGAAGATACAAGAGATATATAAAGTGCAAGAGGAGATACCCCTGTATTAAAGTGGATTTAGCGGTGATTGCACGTCTGTTTGTTTAATAGCTTTCGGTTTGGGCAAACTGCGTGCGCATCACTCTCAATCCTCAATGGTAAAGTTTAAGTGGATTTAGGAACCCCCCCTCGATTCTATTGGCTCTAACGGTTCCAAAATCGACCAATGAGTTCCAGAGATATGGCAAATACACCCAAATGACCCCAGAGGTGGGTTTTTCTAAACCTCTCTAAAAAGGTCAAATGTCACTTGTTTTGCATCAATCTTGATACAGTGTACTTATTATATTATAATTAGAGCTGTCAGTCGATTAAAATATGAAATCGAGATTAATCGCATGATTGTCCATAGTTAATCGCGACTAATCGCAAATTAATCACACATTTTTTTTATCTGTTCTAAATGTACCTTTTTTACTATGTCTTTACAGACACAGCACGTGCCAAAGGTTTGGAAGGATGCTGTGGTAGTCCCTGTTCCCAAATCCAGAGGCCCCACAACTCTTAATGATTTTAGACCAGTTGCACTTACATCAATTATAATGAAGACATTGGACAAACTAGTCAGAGCAGAAATCTTAAGGAAGACTGAGCATGCACTCGATCCCATGCAGTTTGCTTACAGGCCACACAGAGGAGTGGAGGATGCCACCGTCACCTTATTTAACTTACTTTTTAAACACTTGGAGGGAAATGGATCTCATGCTAGACTTTTATTTGTTGATTTTTCCTCTGCTTTTAACACAATTCAACCTCATATTCTAATTGGCAGACTTTTAGAACAATTTGAAATAAGCAATAATCTTATGGGCTGGATTCTTGATTTTTTTAACCAAAGAGTGAGGGTGAATGGGATCTTATCTGATCAAGTCAACTCCTCCACTGGCTCCCCATAAGGATGTGTCCTTTCGCCACTATTATTTATACTGTACACTAATATGTGTCAAAGTAGGAGGGAAAATAGGACAATTTTAAAGTATGCAGATGCCGCTGTAATTGTTAGTAGGCTCCAGGACAATGAGACCAGCCACGGCCCTGTCATTGACGACTTTGTCAGGTGGTGTGAGGAGTCCTATCTACAACTGAACATAAGCAAAACCAAAGACATGATCATTGATTTTAGAAGACATCCCCACAAACATGAAGTCTTAACAATCCAGAATCAGAAAGTAGAATTTGTGCAATCATACAAATATCTCGGGACAATTATTGACTCAAAATGTAGCTCTGATCCAAACTGTGAAGCTGTGCGCAAAAGGGGGCACCAGCATTTGTACTGTTTTAGGAAACTGTCCTATTTTAACATTGACAAAACCATGATGATCATGTTTTATCGTGCTTTTATCGAGTCAATTATGTCTTTTTCACTAATGTCATGGTTTGGGAACCTGACTTTAAAGAGCAGAAACTCTCTGAGTCAGATCATAAAGTGGTCCAGCAGACTGATTGGTGAGCCACAGCTAAACCTGGAGACCCTGTACCTCAGGCAGTTAAAGCGGTTATCCAGCTCCATATTAGACCATGACTCTCACCCTCTGCACTCAGAATTTAAGCTTCTTCCTTCGGGCCGGAGGTTACTTGTCCCAAGGAGTAGAACGAAGCGGTATAAAAACAGTTTTATCCCAGCAGCTATTGCACAAATTAACACATCATAGGAGCGTCACACACATACATGAAGTCTTAACAATCCAGAATCAGAAAGTAGAATTTGTGCAATCATACAAATATCTCGGGACAATTATTGACTCAAAATTGAGCTCTGATCCAATGATGCGTTAGTAGCCTAAAAGCTTTAGGAATCCAAAGTATAACATATAATAAGTACCCTGTATCAAGATTGAGGCAAAACAAGTGAGAATTTACCTTTTTTAAAGAGATTTAGCAAAAAAAAGTCCAAGCGGACTAAGCTTTGGGCACATTTGGGTACATTTGGTTCCATCAGTGCCATTTAACCTTTTTCAGGTACCAGACTGTAAAAATCATTGTATAACATTGAATTATCACTATAGGTATTCATTCCATAAAAAAATAATTAAGTGGGGGTGTGTGTGTGGGTGGAGTGTGTGGGAAGTTCCCTCTTTGCATGAGATGCATGTTACTTGGACAATATTAATTAGGAAACTTAGAAAACATTTGACTCCAACTGGACAAGATTTATTTAAAAAAAATTAGCAACACACAACAACAAAAATGAGCAACAAGCATTTTTTGGGAAAAAAAAAAAAACTTTATACAAACCCTGAATGTTACAGTATTACTCCAGTAAGTCATGCCATGCCCTGTAACAGTTATATTTGGTAGTGAAGCACAGAGGGACCTGAGACTTCCTGCAGTACACAGGTGTCTTCACTCTTCTGTTGCCAGCATCAGAGCACCTCCTGCAGTACCTCCTGACCTTGGTGGCATCTTCCCCATAATACTCGGGCATCCAGAAGCCATATCATCATCGCCTTCCTCACTGTGAAAACAAATGTGGAAAAAACAAATAGATTAATTCTCTGGCTTGTACTTTCAAAAATGTAACTCAAATCAGAAATCATTTCTCTACAACAACAGCAGAACATCAATATACCGTGTAAATTATGTGAGACAGGGTTTTCTTTTCAATATTTAATAATATTCCGTCTGTCATATATTTTGATATGTTATATATATATATATATATATATATATATATATATATATATATATATATATATATATATATATATATATATATATATATATACGCATGTGTGTATATATATATAATATAAGTAATAATTGTAATAATTGTAAATCGCTTTGGATAAAAGCGTCAGCTAAATGAAATGTAATGTAATACCGTGTTAAATTCAACATGTATATGTCTTGTTTATTTCAACAACAAGAACAAGAAACGACATCCATCTTCTTTGTTTGTTGTTGAGTGTGTGAAAGAACATTATATCACAAGATGGATGCCGTCGTGTTATTGTCACGTGTGTGAAATTACTATAGATGAATACACTCTTACACCAAATAAATAACAAAAAGATAAAAACAGATGAATACTCTTACACCAAATAAATAAGTAATAGATACAAACAGAGAGATTACATACCTTTCCGGTGACGGAGGTTCATAATCAGAGTCATTACTAGTGATGGCAGTTTGACACTGAAGCTTCGAACGGAGCTTCAACCCTGGACTTCCTATTCCATAGAAGCAGTGCTTCGAAGCTTGCTTCAAATCACGTGACATATGACGTCAGAAGCAGCAACTGCTTCAAATCACGTGGCATGTGACGTCCGAACCAGCAACTGCTTAATTTCCTGAATGAATCAATTGACTGGTTCGCGGTCCATTCACGCGATTCAATGCACTACCTCGTCTCGATTCTGACAGGTTGAAACAGTTTCGAATTTGAGCGCTTCAACACTTTATGACCGCTCTAAACAATGCGCAATGTGTGGGTTGTTGTCATAGTTTGCGTTGTTGCTGTTGAGTTGTTGGTATTGCATTTGAATTGTAGTATCATTATAGAGCAAGCCAGGAAGAAAGATAGGTCGTTCTGGCTCGGGAAACACTTCAAAATGTGGAGAAGTTGTGAACAAAAAGACAATTATCAGTAATATAAAAACAGTTCAATATTTTAAGGAATAGATAGCCCTGTGGGTAGAGCCGGAGGCCCGAATGCGACGATGTCCTCCGCGCAGCTGGTTCAAAGCCCGGAATGGATGTATTTGAATCAGTGCTTTTCAACTTTAATAACTGATAAAAGGCCCTCTCCTCCCAAAAAAATGTCCAGCACTCTCTAGTCTCTTCTCAATAACCCAATACACACAATTATCAATCTTTAATTGCAAATAGAACATGATATTCAGTCTTAGTGTGTGTGTGCATCGAATATTTTTCAAGGCAAAGATACGTTAAACCCACTGCAGCCTTGCACTTCGCCAGGAGAGGTCGCTGTAACTGAAGCTTCGAGAAATGAACCTATTTCCGACACAATTGTCCAAGTGGTTCGATGCTTCATTCAAAGCTTCATTTTGCCATCACTAGTCATTACTGTCCCCTTTATGCGTGACGAGATCACTATCTTCCGACGGAGAGTCCTGAAATACGATGTCCAATGCCTCCTTGATGGAAAAAGTCTTCTTTCTGGCTGCCATTGAAGACAAAGAAAACAAATCCTGCTGTTTCGCTGATCGATCTGCCTTTCTCTGCTCTCCTGTCACTGCGGGACATGCTATGCTATACTGTGCTGCAGAGGTGGGACCAAGTCATTGTTTTGCAAGTCCGAGTCAAGTCTCAAGTCTTTGCGCTCAAGTCCGAGTCAAGTCTCAAGTCATTGTTTTGCAAGTCCAAGTCAAGTCTCAAGTCAGGATGGGCAAGTTCAAGTCAAGTCAAGTCCTAAACTTTGACAAAACGAGTCATAAACAAGTCATTATGTGTTTTTCACCAAATGTAATGACATCGATCAACAGAATAATACTTAATAATCAAATTGCTCTTTATTAGTCACATTAATAATTTAATAATCAATTTTCTCTCTGCTGCTAAAGTAACGTGTGTTTTTCTAATTTAAGAGGGATCAGTAAGGTAAGGCTACCGTGACGGTTTGATTCAGAAGGAGTTTAATGTATAAGATCCCTGATGTTAAGGTGACCAGAATGTTTATCTCCACTGTGTACAACATGTTATAAGGGACCCACAATCTATCTTTATGCAAGGGCTAATGTGCAGCGAGGCGGTCTCTATGGGGAAAAGAACACCTGAATCTAGATCCCTCTGCAGGTGGTACTTTAAGTATATTTTGATGCTAATACTTTTGTACTTTTACTTGTAACATTTTGAATGCAGGACTTTTTATTGTACAGGGTTCCTGCAGATTTCGCCAACTCAAATTTAAGACTTTTTAACACCTTTTTAAGACCACTTTGAATAGAATTTAAGACCTATTTCACAGCAATAAAGTATGAAGGAAAATGTATATAAAGAAGAAATACGTCCCATAATCACTTACAAAGTAAATGTATTCATGTTCAACATAAGAACAATGACTGAACACAACAGCGTAACAGTACAGAACTGTGTTAGCGTGTTAGCTATCCATCTACTTATGGAGACGCTGGAAACCACATGTGATTAACGACCAATCCTAAAGTTGAACAGTGACTTGGCTTATAACTTTGTTTGATTCTCCCCCACCTCTCTTTTTTCATAGACTGGGAAGCTCGTATTGACAGCCACGGCAGAGTTTTTTATGTGGATCATGTCAACCGTACCACAACTTGGCAGAGACCAAGCCACAGCAGCAAGTGTAACCACGGCATCCCCCACTCAGGATCCACACAGCAGATGGAACAACTCAACAGGAGGTCAGACTGGGAATAAAGAGAGAGAGCTCCAACTGTAGGGATTATAGTAGACACAATAGACTACAATAACATTGTAGGCAAGGCAAGTTTATTTATATAGCACTTTTCAACACAAGGCAATTCAAAGTGCTTTACAAAAAATGAAAGACATTAAGAAAATGGCATCATTAAAAAGAAAAGCTAATAAAATAAACATTAAAAGAAAAAATACATGGATAAAAGTTACAGTGCATTCTAAGATATGAATAGTTCAATTAAAAGCAGCGACAAAAAGATAAGTCTTCAGCCTGGATTTAAAAGTAGTAAGAGTTGCAGCGTACCTGCAGGTTTCTGGGAGTTTGTTCCAGATATTTGGAGCATAATAACTGAATGTTGCTTTACCATGTTTAGTTCTGACTCTGGGGACAGAAAGCTGACCAGTCCCTGAAGACCTGAGAGATCTGGATGGTTCATAATTTAGCAGGAGGTCAGAAATGTATTTTGGACCTAAACCATTCAGTGCTTTATAAACCAGCAGCAGTATTTTGAAATCTATTCTTTGACACACAGGAAGCCAGTGTAAAGACTTCAGAACAGGAGTGATGTGATCCACTTTATAATAATAATAATCCTTATATTTATTATAGCGCTTTATCAAAGAGCTTTACAAATACACATTACACATACAGATCATACATGTAATGGTCATCTACTGTGGACAATACCCACAGGAGCAAATTCGGGTGAAGTGTCTTGCCCAAGGACACAACGGCCTGACGCAGTGGGGCGGGAGCGGGTTTCGAACTGGAGTTCCCCAACGCCCCCTTGATCTGATGATCAAATGCACAGACCACTGCGCCACCCGTCCCTACTTTCTTAGTGTTAGTGAGGACTCGAGCAGCGGCGTTCTGAATCAGCTGCAGCTTCCTAATAGATTTTTTAGTGAGACCTGTGAAGACACCATTGCAGTAGTTGAGTCTACTGAAGATAAAAGCATGGACAAGTTTTTCCAAATCCTGCTGTGACATTAGTCTTTTAATCCTAGATATATTCTTTAGGTGATAGTAGGCTGATTTAGTAACTGTTTTAATGTGACTGTTGAAACTCAGGTCAGAGTCCATGACTAACTACACCTAGATTTCTGGCTTTATCTGTTGTTTTGAACATTGCAGACTGAAGCTCAGCGCTAACTTTTATACGTTCTGCCTTGGCTCCAAAAACCATTACCTCAGTTTTATCTTTGTTTAATTGGAGAAAGTTCTGACACATCCAGTCATTGATTTGTTCAATGCACTTACTCAGTTTTTGAATTGGAGCATAGTCTCCTGGTGAAATTGTTACGTAAATGTGTGTGTCATCTGCATAGCTATGGTAACTTATTGTAGTATAAATTATGTTGGGTGTGTTGTCATACGAATTATGCAATAACCTGTAAAGTTGATTGTGAAAGACGCAGATACCCGTTATAATAAACAGCAAGACTTCACAAGCCAAATAAATGTTCCATCAGCATACTCGTGTGAAAAGATGACTTGTTGTTTCTGCAGGTACGAGAACATCCAAAGAACCATGGCCACAGAAGAGGATGGTGAAAGTCCAAGGTTAGAGCGCAGCAGCAGTGCGGACACTGATTCTGAGACTTCTCAGACAGGTACCGTTCTGACCCTCCTCACCATTTGAAATTAGATGAAGAATCTCTGCTTTTCATGCCAATAAAATATAAGACTTAAAAAAACATTATTATGCTAACAGGTGTATAAAATCAAGCACCCAGCCATGCAGTCTGCCTTTACAAACATTTGTGAAAGAATGGGTCGTTCTAAAGAGCTCACCGAATTCGAACGTGGTACTGTAATAGTATGCCACCGTTGCAACAAGTCAGTTTGTGAAATGTCTTCTCTCCTAGATATTCCACAATCAACTGTAAGTGGTATTATTGCAAAGTGTAAAAGTGTAGGTACCACAGCAACTCAGCCACGAAGAGGCAGACAACGTAAAGTTACAGAGCGGGGTTGCTGAGTGCTGAGGCGCATAGTGCGCAAAAGTGGCCAAAGCTCTGCTGACTCAATAACTGCAGAGCTCCAAACCAGCTCTGGTATTAATATCAGCACCAAAACTGTGCACCGGGAGCTTCATGGCATGGGTTTTCATGGCCGAGCAGCTGCATGCAAGTCTTTCATCACCAAGCACAATGCCAAGTGTCAGATGGAGTGGTTTAAAGCACGCCGCCACTGGACTCTGGAGCAGTGGAAACGTGTTCTGTGGAGTGACGAATCACGCTTCTCCATCCTCTGATAGACAAGTCTTGGTTGGCGTGGGCAAGGGTTGCAGTCGAATTGTCCAAAAATCAGCTCTTATCATCTTTTCCTATCCACTATTCCTTAACCTCTGTGTGAAACGTCACAGGGTTAAGGAATAGTGGATAGGACAATTCAAAAGGGCTTAGGAAAAGAGACTGTGGTGCTTTGAGAATCCGACTGCACTTACACTATCCGACGTATTTATGATGCGCCAGCGGACGTCATAAATGTGCGTCTGCTGTGGGGAAACTACAGTTTTTTTATACAGCGTACTACATGGATGTATAATAAGAACGGCGGACTACTGTAAACCAGTGATGGGGTCATTACTCAAATAAAGTAATCTATTACACATTACTCATTACTTTAAAAAAAAGTAATACATTACTTTACTTCTTTACTTACATAAAGTAACTTGTTACATTACTCTTTACATTACTTTTGCGTTACTCAGCAACAGCCTATAGCCAAAACGTAGGCCTACATGTGCACACATATAACAATTATTATTGCAATAAAGAAGAGATAACACAAGTTAATAACGTGTAAGTTCTAGTTTTTGCTGCTTGTCCGGAGTCGGCACACATTCAACATCATCACTCTTGTTTCGTTGGTCTTTAGCTACTTGCTTCGTGTTAGCATATTGCCTTTGCAGGTGCTTGGAGAGGTCTGGCCTGGACACAGTTTACACCTTACCGTCGCATTCCTGTCCTTTCTTCTGACAAATTCAAAATAATGGGCATACCTCCACCCCTCGAAAGTTATAGCTGTTGATAACTCCGCCATATCACTGCAGCACAACCCCTGTGATAGTTGCATGTGGACAAGTCGCGCATATGTTACGCAAATATAAACCTGCGGCAGAAAAACCCACTAGTGACCAGAAATATTTTAAATAGGGCTGTCAGTCGATTAAAATATTTAATCGCGATTAATCACACGATTGTCCATAGTTAATCGCGATTAATCACAAATTAATCGCACATTTTTTATCTGTTCTAAATGTACCTTAGAGGAATATTTTTCAAGTTTTTAATACTCTCAACATATGAGTGGACAAATATGCTTTATGCAAATGTTTATTATCATTTGAACAATGACAAATATTCTCATGAATATTAAACAAAACAACCTCTGAACATTACAAATATTCGCCTCAATTCAATCTGGAACCTCTCTCATATAATAATACAATACTGTGTGTGTGTGTGTGTGTGTGTGTGTGTGTGTGTGTGTGTGTGTGTGTGTGTGTGTGTGTGTGTGTGTGTGGTGTGTGTGTGTGTGTGTGTGTGTGTGTGTGTGTGTGTGTGTGTGTGTGTGTGTGTGTTGTGTGTGTGTGTGTGTGTGTGTGGTGTGTGTGTGGTGTGTGTGTGTGTGTGTGTGTGTGTGTGTGTGTGTGTGTGTGTGATGGATCGTTGGAGCTATGTGCAACTCAAGGCATATGCTCGAACGGGAGCTGCCTGGACGCTGCAATCATGTTGCTGACTTTCCGTACAATGTCCCACTGTCTGGCTACCTGCATAAAGTCAAGTGCTCGGCGCAGTTGTCGGCGAAATGTCGCTCCTCTGTTTTCATTTAAACAGCTCCTTATATCCGTTAGCGCTGCTAGCTAGCACCAGATGCTAACAACAACAATACACGTAAGGTCTCTCTCTCGTGCCACACATACACACACCCTCCCAGTCCTCCCGATGGCCAGTCAGGGCCTGCCGGTGAGCGTGGAAGGAGCGGGGCTGTCAGCATCAGCTTGTAGATGGTATTTTAAAGTCGATGCGCTCTGAAACTACGCGGCGGCCGAGGACAAAAAATACACATGCGTTAATCGTGTTAAAATAATTAGTGGCGTTAATTTTTTTTTTGCGTTAACGTGTTATTAACGCGTTAACTTGACAGCCCTGATTTTAAATTGTTAAAAGTGAATCACATTTATCTTATCTACCCCTGGAACTAGCTAAACTAGTTATAAATATGTTTATTATTTACTGTTGTGTCGGGTCACTCATTCACTGGATCAGTGAGCTGCATGAGACTGATACAGATGGGCTGTCAGGAGAGGAAGAGCGGAAAAGAGAGGCTCCGTTTATCCCGTGTTATTATCCAAAGTTACTGTAAACTTTTGAATAATGTAGTAACTACTGTCAAAGGGAGAATCTAGTAATTTTTTGCGCAATGTTAGTAACTAGTCTGATTACTGAATTTATAACAGTAAAGCGTTACATTACTGCAGGGGTGGGGTTAAGGTATACGGCCCGCGAGACCATTTGGTACGGCCCTCGAGGTAATTTATAAACACACGCAAAAAATTAAAAAATTAAAGAAATCTAGACCGCAAAAAAATTAAACAAACGAGTGCCTGTTTTTCCTGGCCAAGATCAGGGTCCAGGAATACAACACGAGCCTAACGTGTTATCACCATAGACTGTATATATAAATGGACGTATAGGGTCCGTGACGTCACCCATAGGATTCTGCAGAGTTGCCGAGAAGCCCTTAGTAGGCGGAGTCGGCCACTAACGGCTCGACAGTGACGTCAGAGTTCAACTCCAGCCTGCTCCAAATAAGGGCAAAGAGGCGGAGCCAAGGCGGGACCTGCTGCCACCGAGCTGGAAGCTCCAGAGCTAGCTGAAGCTAAGCTAACATGATCCCCATCTGCACACTGCCATCGCATTTTACGTTTCTACGGTAAGCGGACATGAAACTATTCAGCAAAACTATAAATAATAATCTAAGTTATTGAGTTTTTAGCATAATACTTCAGAATCTTAAAATCCCTTAACGTGTGTATGCAATTGTGCTAAATTCAACACTGGAATCAAGCAAATATGAATATGTTTGCATGACATTATTTATATTTTGATATCACTTAACTATACGTTTAATACATTTAAGTCAAGCTAAGGTACATGTGATGGTAGCTAGTTAGTGCTCTTACCTGTGAGGTCTCCTCCAAACAGCATAATAACCAGACTGTATCATTAAAACTAAATACCAGTTCTAGATCCTTGACTTTAGACAAACAATTCAAAAGACAACATGTATTTCAAGACTAATCTTTATTTGAATGTGCCTCTTAACCTGAGATATTAGTTATACAGTAATAGTATTGACAATCTAAAAAAACTGAGCAACTCAACAGTCAACTTTATACGTCTTATTGTCTAAAGCATTTATTATTTTCATTTTCCCCCTCTCATATTCAGTGTGGACGGATTGAGACAGCGTGGTGTCCAGAGAACTGCAGAGACTTCAGGGAGAAACCTCCATGTGATGGACGTCCTGTCTGTTGGTTTGGAGAGGACTGAGGGTCTTTCCTCAGCGAGGAGGACCAGGCCTGATGGAGGAGCCCATGCTGGGCACAGCTGATACCAACTGCACAGGCCTAGTCTGTCACATTATTTGACTAAATGTGTTTACTTATACATTTAATAGGTTTACACCTTCTGTCCATGTCCACATGTTTGATTAAGTTTTGGTTCACATTTCAATAAATTGTATTTGAATTGGCTCTCCTTTAGTCCATTGTTCTTACTGAAAATGTTAGATTACACATTCACATCTGACTGAAGATTGGCCTCATTTATTTGTGACGTTGCAAACTCTGCGCAACAAGGCACAAGTGATGTGAAGCTCATAAAGTGAGGAAAATAGAAATAATCAGCTGATGGAGTGTAGATGTGGAAATAGGTGCATTTGATCAGCTGACTGTTTTTACAATAAAAGTAGTTTCTTAGTGAATGTCCTGTACTGGTCTTAAAATCTCATAGCATCAGCTTTGAATGTTCCTCTTGGATGTTCTTCTTGACCCTCAGAGAAGGAGAACATGTCGTGTCTTTCAGGCATGTCCTTTCCTAACAAAAATTAGAGGAAACATAAAACATATTATTGCAGAACAAGTGTGTTATTTATGAAAGCAGTGTGTTTGTGTGTTTAGGGGCTGTTGATATAATTATTTTGTAGTTGTAATGTTTTTTTTTTATGTCAACAGTGAGCTACAAAGACAATCAGATTATGAATGAACAGTATGAAGTTCATCAACATTGAAATATATGTTATCTAAATAATATTGAACTGTTATCAAAACGCAAGGCAAGGCAAGTTTATTTATATAGCACCTTTCAACACAAGGCAATTCAAGGTGCTTTACAAAAATGAAAGACATTCAGACAAAGGCATTTAAAATCAGTAAAAGATAATAAAAGAAACATTAAAAGAAAAAATACATGAATAAAAAGTACATGAATAAAAAGTTACAGTGCAGTTTAAGATATGAATAGTTCACACAGAAGTTCCACTTTACTGATGAACACAACGGCTCAGTTTCAATTAAAAGCAGCGACAAAAAGATAAGTCT